GCCTTCATCGTTGTCTGTCATAACCCTCAATGGAAATGCCTACTGAATATATTCCAAGACTACCATTTTACTTTCTTATTGGGTTTCCCATTACCTGTCTGTAACCGTAAGTAACAAGATAGCTTCTTTTGAAGAGTAATGGCTTTCCAGGTATTTTTCTAATACAAGGGAAGCTTACCATTGGTTCACATGTAATAAGCCCACCTTTAAGAGGAAAATAAGGCCAAGGCTCATTTCTAGATAGCTGATGGGAATCAGCCTTCTATCCAATGTATATCTAGAGGAGGAATTTCTGACTTCACAAAATAGGGAGAGTCGAGGCAAATGTAATCCCAGCCATGCTGTGACCATCCATCCTTGTTGATATGGTTTAATAAATAACCAACATAATTGTTGACTCAGTTCAAACACACTAGGAAGAGGGAGTGACCTCAGAATCACGTTACTGTGTGGGAGAGAAATGATCCAGCCCTGAGAAGTGGCCTATGTCTTTGCCTGCTAATACACAGGAATGCTGTCTAAAAGTATATAATGTGCCACATATTCATAGATTAATAGAATATTTGTGTCCATTAGAAAACAGTTATTCCCAAATGCCATCTCTTTTAGTGTGGACAAGCATCCTTCAGGTTAACTACATGATCTAAAAACTGAGCAAGGGAAGGAAACTTGAAAGCTCAAGATAAGGAGACACTGCAAATGTACATTTACCAGGAATCAATACAAAACAACTTTAAAAATGACTTCTTGCTAAGGGGAAATAATTTAATTGTACAAGTTTAGCTTTAGAAAATGTTCAGAAAAGCATTTATTACATAAATGACCTAATATGTAGCATAATATTTTTTGATCTCGGTAAAACATTAGATCTGTTCTTTGTACTCATACTATACAGTCTTTATCCAGGAATGTGCTTGTAATTTTGCTAACCAGTAGACTCTTGAGATGTTCAAATTCTAAATTCTTCTCTATAAGGAGGTAAAGCTATGAGGGGAGATATCTTCAGCTACCCAAGTGTTTCTTCCCCACTGGACATATTTGTCACTCTAGAATAAGTGATTGGAGGGTTTCACACATTAATAGGTTCAGGGCAGATGGCAGCCCTAGGAAGAGACTTCAAGAAAACAAAAATAAGAAATGAAGGCTCTGACTGTATGAAGAAAGTGGTTGTCGGTGGCAAGGTGGGGATGTGGAGTGATCTAGAAAAAGGAAAAACAGTGAGACAGACTTCAAGCAGTGACCCCCCCACCCCAGAGTTTTTCAGTTCACTATTGAGCCTGTTTACCAGCAGGCATCATCTATTGCCTGTCTTCTATCTTCACAGCTCTCTACCAGGCACTAATTTTGAACTCTCAGATACCAAATAATTAATGCCTAGATGACTACAACCCAGGTTATATGCCTGGCTGATACATGCATAGATTCTTCCTGGTCTGCAGGCAGAAGGTGGCTTTCTAATCTAGGATAATGAGTGAAATTTTGTAGGGATTGCATACAAATAACTTGGTGCTTATTTGTAAAGTAATTTTCCCTTGGACTGATAACAATGTCTTGAAGGAGAAGCCTGCTGCGGATGGCCCTCGCGCTGTGTTCTCTTCATGAACCGCAGAGCAGTTGGCGTGTTAGGGACAAACAGAGGAGCCCAAATCATAATAAACTGAATCCCCATTCACAATAGCTTCAAAGAAATAAACACATACCCTAGGGAATCCCAACTTTACAAGGGATGTGAAAGGACTTTTCAAGGATGAACTACAAACCACTGCTCAGTGAAATAAAAGGAGGACACAACCAACAGATGGAAGAACATCCATGTCATGGATAGAGATTCATCATGTGGAAATGGCCCATAGGCCCACGCGTGTAGATTTTAGGATTCAAACTCTGCCCAATCCCCATTAAGCTACCAATGGACTTTCTTCACGAAATTGGAAAAAACTGTTTTAAAGTTCCATATGGAACCAAAAAGAGGCCCCTTGCCAGACAATCCTATTGGCCAAGGAACAAATATGGAGATGACGGTACCTGACTCAAAAAACTTATACTACAAGGCTTACGTAAACCAAAACAGGCAGTGTTACTGGTTACCGAAAAAAGCCAGACGGATATAGATCGCAACGTGAAACGAAAGGAGCCCTCAGAAAATACCACACACCTGTACAAGCATCTGATCTTTGACGACACCTGAGAAAACAAGAAAATGGGGGCAAGGATTCCCTAGGTTAATAAATGGTGGCTGGCGATGAATTGGCTAAGCGCATTTAAGTAGAAAGTGAAACTGGATTCTTTCCTTACCTCCTAGTCGAAATTAATTCAAGATGGATTAGGGCTTTAAAATGTTAGACCTAAAACATAAAGAACGCCTAGAAGAAAAACCTTAGGTAATACCATTGAGGGACATAAGGCATCGGCAAGGACTCATTCTAAACACCAAAGGCAATGACAACAAAAGCCAATTACAAAACGGATCTCATTAAACCTAAAAGATTCTGCACAGCAGGATAATAGATAACTACTCATCCAGAGGTGGAACAGGGCAACCTACAGGGATGGGAGAATTTCTGGATATATATCTGACAAAAATGTGGGCTAATATCCAGGATATCTCTTATAATAAACATACAAAATTACAATGAAAACAATCAATCCTCCTCAAAAAGTGGGAAGAATAACATGAATTTCTCATATAAGAAAGACGTTGCATACATGCAAACAGTTCCATGAATAAATTGTCTTCTACTGGCATCAGAAGAAATTGGCAATCTATATAACCACAATTGAGATTACCCATCTCACACAGTCAGGATGCTGATCATTTAGAAAATTCAGGGAATAAGCAACAGGTGGCTAGATGAGTGAGTGGAGAAATATGGACACTTTTATACTGTGGGTCGCGGACTGGTAAACTAGTTCAACGCATTGTGGGAAAACAGGATGTGCATTCCCTCAGGATATTTAGAACTAGAAATACATTTGGACGCCAGCCATTTCCGGTTTACTGGGGATATACGCAAAGGATATAAGTCATGGCTTGCCTATTAAAATCCATGCCACGGTACCTTGTTTATTGCGGCACTATTCACAGAATAGCAAAGACTTGGTAGGAATCAACCCAAATGGTCCATCGAGTGGGTACAGACTGGATTAAGAAAATGTGGCACATATACACCATGGAATACTATGCAGCCATAAAAAAGGATGAGTTTGTGTCCTTTGTAGGGACATGGATGCATCATTCTCAGCAAACTATCGCAAGAACAGAAAACCAAATACCGCATGTTCTCACTCATAGGTGGGAATTGAACAATGAGATCACCTGGACATAGGAAGGGGAGCATTACACACCAGGTCCTATTGTGGGGAGAGGGGAGGGGGGAGGGATAGCATTACCTATTATAAATGACGAGTTAATGGGTACAGCACACCAACAAGGCACATGTATACATATGTAACAAACCTGCACGTTGCGCACATGTACCCTAGAACTTAAAGAATAAAAAAAAAAATCATGAATGAACTTAATACACTGAACTGTACATTTAAAAATGGCTAAAATAGCATATTTATGTTATGTATATCTTACTAAAATAAAAAATAAACTATGAAAAAAAATTTGGCTGTTAGGTTAGAAGTTACTTCATATTTAAAATGTTTCTCTTTTTGACTCCTTTTGACAAACCTGGTTTTGTTCTTTATAAAAGTCTGTTTGAGCTCTCTCATATCTTTCTTTGGCCTCATTCATTTGGTGCTGATAAAGCTAATGTTTTCCTTTTGTCTTGACTTTGAAGGAAACCAAAACATTCCTCTCAAAAATGCTGGGGATTGTTGAGTTTAAAAAACTCTGCCCCTCTCTCTGCTTTTCCCACCTAAAGACAGTCCAACACTTGCTTATCTGCTCAGAGATAGTGGTGCCAGAGGATCTAGGAGCAGACTTTAATCTTCCCATATATTTACCTTCCCACATTTTCCTGCCTTTTGGAAGCCCGAAGATGCTATCTTCTTTGTCTTGTCCCTATTAGGATTTCTGGCTCTTTGGTGAGATACTATTTAAGCATGACCCCTAAGCCACTGCCTTGAGAGAGAAATGCTTTTGAACTGAGGCCTCTTCCATGTGATGGGTATAGCATGTGTTCATAAATTTCTGCTTGTTTTTTGTTAATCTAACTTGTTTTCAGAAGAGTATCTCAACTAAGAGCTGGAAAAGGGAGAGAAAAGAAATTATGTTTTGTCCCCTAAAACCTACTAATTCAGGATGCAATCAGTCCATGGTGTCTTTGGTCTTACGGCACACATTCAATATTTAAAATGTGAAATAGTTTAAACAGTCTCTTCTGAAGGTCTCTTTAGACTTGCTTATTACAGAGCTATCTAGCAGTAGGGAAAAGGCCTAAAAAGTCCCTTATGACCAAATTCAGTCCTTGGGTTTTCTCATTTTAAGCAGGGCTTTTGTAACTTTCTTGACTGAGTTAAATGTCCTCATTTCAGCACAGTGAACAGTTTTACACATGATCACACCTAGTATTAAGAAGACAATGCTGAAAATGGTGACTTTTCCTTCATCCACCTGACAGTGACTAAGGAAATCAAAAGGCCAGGCTCTACGAGGTCAGCATACAATGATGAGTAAGACAGCCTCTGCCTTTCTAGAGGAGAGAAAAATGTAAACTAATAATTGCTGTTGGTGTGAAAAGTGCAATAATGAGAGTATGCATCAGATCCGACAGTGGGCCCCAGGAGAGGGTAATAAACCCAGTCTGAGGAATCAGAAGAGACTTGACTGAGCCTTCCTAAGCAGAATTACTTCCTGTTGTTTCTTGATTTTTATGGCATCCAGTTGATAAATGTGCAATAGGGGAGAATCATTCTTCAAGCAATCTCTCGAGTACCAAAATATAACACCACATTCTGGAAAGTAGGACAGCTTGTAATCACTCCTCCAGTCATATCACTTGCTGCAACTAAAGAGGAAAAACCATTTATTGCAAACGTGCATTTTGTACCTTTGCTGAAGAACAGATGTGACCTGTTTGCAGAAATTCTCTCCATTTTGAGAAAACTCCTTTAGGTTCTTGTATACTTTATTATACTGAAAAACAAGAACAACAACAACAAAAAACAATGAACAGGAAGATTACAAGCAACTCTGAAGATAGAGCACCTATAAATTCAGAAAACTACTATAACCATGATATATGATTTATACTGTCATTATAAATGATCGTGCAGCTACAGGCATGCATACCTTTTGGATGAGTTCTTAAAATCAAGATGAGGTCTCTTCTGCCTGGATATGAAAGACCCTGGAGAACTTTTCAAAAATAAAGCTGATCTGTTTCTCTCCTCAGCCAAATGCAAACAATTCAGCAGTGGGGTGCATTTGACGCCTGGAATGTCACAGGAATGTCACCCCAATTGTTCCCAGGAAGGACAAAAAAATATATTCTGAAGGATGCCACATAACTTTTTATGTCCCCTCCTGCACACACAAACTTCAAAATTATATTTCTGGGGCTCATGACAAACCGTGAGCCATTAGAGTGAGCTGAGTCTTTCTTATCTGAGATGGGAAACTGAGTAAATAACCTGGTAAGAAAACTTTGTCCTAGTCCTCTCTCTGTCTCATTTAATTCCAGTAAGAAAATGTTATCATAATGAGTTGAACATTTTGGCTAAACCAAACCATTATAAATTTATTAATTATCCTTTATAAATTCATGTGTATTTGAATTTAGCCTGCGGACACAAGAATTTCCAGTAAAAGTTTTTGTCATTTGATTTAGAACTCCACAATGTCTTCCTGGAAACTATAAATGTAGACATTGATGACAATAGATTTTAAGTGCCTAAACAGAGAAGCTAAATGTCAATTGATTTTGCAGTTTTTTCTGACACAGAGCAAGTGAATTAGATGATGGAACATCCCAGACACACTCTCTCATAGTTTCCATCTGGGAGGTGCAACAGCAGATTGCATTTTTCAAAATGAGATTTTACATAAGAGGACCCAAATTCAATATGGATTGAGAGCTGTGCTGTTCTTTGCTCATACAATGAGCCAGCCTATTCCAGTGTTCAGATATCGCCAGCATTCAGTTGGGCACCATATTGAGAAGGGAAGAAGGAAGGAAATTCACATTTACTGAGTGCCTCCTATTGCAGTGGGCACATTCACAAACCCACACGCCCTCAGGGCCCAGAAAGCCATTCAGTCAACAAAGCACTTGGTATGTGGTGCTAGCAGAGTATCAAACTAAGGACATAGGGTGACAGAGGAGGAAAGACCTAAAGAAATGAGCTGATCCAGGTCTCTACCTTTGGTGATGGAACAAACCAACACCTAGGATACAGGAACATTCTTACCATATCCATTTACCTTTATGCAGTAGTTTAACTTTCCTGTGAATTTAACACAGAAAGCTGTGATAGGACTTCATAGATGTATATCAATATTAGCAAACCACTTCCTTGAAACTGCCTGGGACACGAGGAAAGTGGTGAGGGTGCGAAGCTTTAATGAGAAAATTGTTAATTTCTAAAGCACAGTTTGCAAAATCCTGTGGCTGCTGGCACCAGTCAGGCCCCTGAATGAGTGAGGAGCAGGGTGGGGACTGTGAGCTGGAGAGGCAGCTGTTAGAACCATTCTGGCCCATCACTGCCACCTGGAATGTGGCCCAGGAAAGCCAGATCTCCCACTTTGTCCAAAAAAACTGAAATCAGGATTTGCATCCGAAACATGATTTTTTTTTAATGGTAGCAAACAATTCACAAATTAAAAAAACTCTGCAATGTAAACAAAACACACTTGTAGTGAGGTTCCAATTTGTAGCCCCTCTCATGAAGGAGAAAATAATCCTCCTGTCAGAGTCATGAAAGTAAAATCACTGTTTGTCAATCAAGCTTTCTAATTTTTATTTCCAATAAAACTAACTTGCCATATATGAATGGTATGATACTATTAAGGCCTCCTTCCTCCCCTTACAGGCACACTGGGGAAGTTTAGGGGAGTATTTTGAAATTGTGAGAAGACCTGAGGTAAAGAACCTTGTTTAGCCTCTTTGTTTGCTCCTATGTTACCTAAACATGTTCACTAGATTTCTCCCTAAGCCTTTTGTTTTCTTCTGCAACACCTAATAGCATCCCATGAAACACACCTCAGTGTCATGAGAAGAAAATGCATAAATGTTTAGCAGGGTACATGCTCCTGGAATAAGGTCATTTCTCAGCCTCCCTCAACCTTAGGTGTTAACCATGTGACTAAAAGCTATCCAAGGAGATGTGAGGGAAGGTTTTGTATGAGGTTTCAGTAAAGGCTTGTTTGCACTCTTGTCTTCCTTCTGGACTTGAAAATGCAGGCCAAAGCCGTGAAGTGGTATTGAGATTGGATATAATGCATTAAGAACATAGAGTGGAAAGAGAAAAAGAGCCTGGGTCCCTGATGGCTGTAAAGGACACCACAGCAGCCCTCAACTCTCTACTTTTGGACTTATTTTATGTGTGAGAAAAATACAATGTTTTTTTAAAGACATATGTATTTGGGGTTTTTCTAATATGCAGCTGAACATAGTTCTAACTCATACAGGGTCTTTTTGCTTTGAATTATGAAATGTTTTTATGTTTTATAACATAATGATACAGAAAATAATAAAAATGCACATTAGATACTCACTACCTAAGTTATAGAGATAGTAACACTTTGCTTCTTCTCTCTCTTTAAACAACTTTTTTTTTTCTTTTCATAATTTATTTGGCTATTCTGAGGCATTTATTGTAACATATGAACATTTGTCTAATTACATATCTTTTTAAATCCCCGTTGGGATCCTGATTGGAATTGTATTACATACATACATCAATTTGGGAAAACTGACTTTTTAACGGTGTTTAGACTTTCTATCCAAGGACATAGTAAGTTTTTGCATTTGTTCAAATTTTATTTTATGTTCAATAAAATTTTATTATTTTCTTTATAGGTCCTGTGGCTTTCTTATTTGATTTATTTAGAACTATCTCACAGTATTAAGCTGTGGATTTTTATGTATTGTCTTACTGACTTCTCTCTCCAGCCCACAGCAAAGCAGAAACAGACTCAACAAAAAGCCATGGGGCTGTGTGCAAGAGAGAAAGACCTGGATGCATATGCTTATGAAGTAAATCTTCTACTCTCAAACACTACAAAGCTGGGGCTGAGGATGGGAGAAAAGAAAGCAGAGAGATGGATTCGAGGGATTTAGAGTAGGAAGGAGAAAAAGAACCTTCCATTAGGGGAAGCAGGAGTGGAAGGAAGAGACTTCAAGATGAAATGTCCTACGGGAAAGGCCCTTACCAGTCCACCATCACCAGAGGATAGTCTGCACATAGAAGTTACCTATGGGAGAGAATTAAGGGACCCTGGACATCAAGTGTGGGATGGGGCATGTAGAGAAAACTCTGCCCATAACCAATGTAAAAATGAGTAGAACCAGTTGAGAATTTTTCTATGTGCTTGTGTTACAGGGGCTGCTGCATTTCCTAAACTGATCAAGCCATCAAAACTCCCTAAGACACATTTTTAAATACTGTCTCAAGGGAACTAGTTTTAGGAGGCTAGGCCATGCTGAAAGTTTATAAGCCAGTGATTGAAAACTCAATGGCCTTTAGTGGCAGTGGTGAAGCCTGTGGCAAAGGCATTCACATTCAACCTCTTAAAGTAAGGGGCTGCTGGAACAAAGCACAGTCTATGGCCTCCATTGACCCTAGGGCTGCCAGCTCTAGAATTTGGAAGATGATTTTCCGTCATTTCGTAGACTAGTACTTTCTAACTTTTTCCCCAAAATGGCACACGTAGAAAATATTTGTACTGGAAGAGTGTGGTAAATAGACACAGTTGTTCCAGGAAGAGGGAACTGGCCCATGGCTTTGCCTCCTACCTCGCTCCCAGCCATACTCTGTCAATTCAAGGGTGCAGAGGACTTGTGTCTCAGGTACACCTGTAACCATCCGCAGACGTCAAACTCCAGTATGCCCAGGCACATGCAAGTTGAGAAGGTCTTCATAATTGTTAATTTAGTGATCAGATAAGAGATGAGGTTATGAGAGCAATGGAGAGAATCTTTACCTCTGATCCTATATACTATGCACCAGAAATTCCCCAACAAACCCTGATCCAGATTGAGATAAAGGTGACATCAATAAATAAAAGAGTTGCTAAGAATATTTTCATTATCCCAGCATAAATCCTTATTTAGAATCAATGATTCTGTACTTTTCATCATGTACCATCTACTCAGACTTGGAGATAAAAACTGTGAAAAGCAGATCCACTTAAATGCCAAAGCAGACCTCCAGAGACCATATAATTCTCTCTCTCTCTCTCTCTCTCTGTGTGTGTGTGTGTGTGTGTGTGTGTGTGTGTGTGTTCAGAAAATCTTGGAACATACCTGCTTTGTGGGGGTGAAATCACTTGACTTTAGTTTTGGTTGTCTTACTCCTACCTCACCACACTCCCACCCACTAGAGAGGACTCTGAAAGGGTTCCATGGAGCACAGTTTGGAAGCCACTGAAGTCTAATTCCTTTATTTACAGTTAAGGCCCAAAGAGATAACAATAATCTAATTAGTTAGAGACAGAGTTGTGATTAGAAATGTTAGGTATGAAAATCAATTAGAGAATCCATTAGAATCAAATACATTTATAAATGGCTGATCTTTTTAATCACACTAAGTTTACTCCAAGTTATAGTAACCTTTAAGTGTCATGTGCAATACAGCTGGCTTCTTAATGTCATCAACCAGCAGAAGAAGAAGGGCTTGCTGTGGTCACAGGGAGGTGGAAGGCAATTTTGGTGTTCTTTTCCTACCCATTGAGCTTTTAAATATCCTAACCCCCTACCAAATATTCATTTCAGAGAATAATCTACTATTGATTCTACATCTCCATATGAATTCATATTAATATGCTGCTTCTCCTGGGGAATCATTAATTATTAGGAAAAACAAAAAACATTACGAGGCTTTTCTCCCCAGATAAAGGGATTTCAGTCTGGTAGTGGAATATCTGGGATCTTCCTAAGCCCCTAAAAAAATAATAACCCCTTCACAAATAGACAACTGGTCTACACAGACATTTCCCATTCAGCCATTAGGAAAATGTTTCTTCCCAGAATTTGTAAGCAAATTCTGTTGATAAATATAGCCATTACAGAAAACATTCAGTAATCCAGCCAATCAGCACATGAAATGGTTAGACAGATGACTTGTAAAGATTATAAAGTGCCTACGTCAAGCCTGGCCTACCTGCTCTTTCTGGTTGAATGATTAAGAGGGTTAAATTTAGTTCTAGAAAGAATTATAGAAAAATTTATTTGTATTGATGCTAGTATGGAATAATTTTTTTTGAATAATGATGATCCTCACAGTGTTAAAGAAACCATGATATTCCACTTAAATTTAACACTGGATGCCAGGCACTGTGCTACTGATATCATGTGAGTTCTGATTCACTGGGGGCGATTTTTCAAAGCACTGCCCCTCTATGAAGGGAATCCATGTACGTGTTCACCAGCTGCGTAGTATTTGGGATCCCTGTGGCAGACTGCCGCAGATTATGGGATATGGAACGTTAAAAAGTATAGTCTACTCCATCCTCTCCTTCTTTTACTTTACACATGAGGAAACAGAGGTCCAAGAACGGCATGTTACACATCTCATTGATGCACACTGGAGAGGCTGTGGGCCACATGACGCCCATGCCAGATGCAGCCTCCTTCTGTATTTTTGCAGTGAGTCAGATTCTCCCAGGTGCTATGGCCCATGGCACCGGCACCATCTGAGTTAGTGACAGTCATTGTCTGGTGTCCAGGCTAAGCCACCAAGATGGGAAGCTCAGGTTGACATCTGAGCCAGGTTACCAACCTGAGGAGCAACCTGGTGCCATTTCAATGGAGGATGACATGAGGGGAGTGGCTGACTGTGTGGAGCCCAGAAGACTTGCTTTGACAGACCCCTTCCTGGATACTGAATGAGTGTGTAAAAAGTAAAAATTTGCTCAAGCCTGTAATCCCAGCACTTTCGGAGGCCGAGACGGGTGGATCACGAGGTCAGGAGATCGAGACCATCCTGGTTAACACGGTGAAACCCTGTCTCTACTAAAAATACAAAAAACTAGCCGGGCGGCGAGGTGGCAGGCGCCTGTAGTCCCAGCTACTCGGGAGGCTGAGGCAGGAGAATGGCGTGAACCCGGGAGGCGGAGTTTGCAGTGAGCTGAGATCTGGCCACTGCACTCCAGCCTGGGCGACAGAGCGAGACTCCGTCTCAAAAAAAAAAAAAAAAAAAAAAAGTAAAAATTTGGCTACAGCTTGTTACTTGTCCTTGATTTCTATGTGATTGTTTGATAGGAAGGTGCTATTAATACTTTCTTGTGATCGAATTCTTTCCTTTGGAGATAATTGGATCCTACTTCCTCACCTTTCTTGCACATGGATTTGAAGATGAGTTCCCTAGACGTATTTTTAGGTTTAAGAGCTAAACCTAAACCTTCACAGGCAATGGAGCATCAAGGCCCAGAGCCAATTCTTCTCCTTGTCAAAAACAGAACTTTAAAGATATCTTAAAGATATCTTCTTCAAATAAGTTCTGACACTCTCAAGATTAGTCCTACACAGCATTTAGGCAATCTTATGCCAACCCAGTGACAATAATTTGAACTCAAACACTGACCTGGCTCTTTGAGGTTGACGGGCCCAGCTATCAGCCTATTTTGCCCATTAAAACTTGATCTAAAAGAGATTTTTAAATTTTTTCGTACCATGAGCCCTTTTTGTAGTCTCATGAAACCTATTTGATTCAGAATAACATTTTTAAGTAGCGTAGGGTCACAAAGGAAATGAATTATATATTTTTAGAGTGTATTTTTAAAATTATGATATTATATGCTTTTTAATTAACATGCTAAATTACATATCTTAAGTATTACCAACATTTTGAAGTCAGGTTGAATGTAAATATTTCTAGATATGTGCAACAACTGTCATGTTGTTATAAAATTTCTGATTTTTATTGGTTACAAAGTCACAGACACTGCACAGATATTACTAGTAGTATTGGGGCTTGTTGCCTATATTCTGGATTGAATAAAATTCTAAGTCTCAATTAGAAATCAGTACAAATAGAGATTTGTTTTCACTGAAGTTCATGCAACCCACTGAGTTCCATACATGGGTATATTGGTATGGGCCCGGTTAAGAACTGTAGCTAAGACTTTATGAATTGTGCTCTGTGCAACTCTAGGGACTCATGGAAAGGGACATTTTGCAGGTGCTTAAAGCTTTGGGTTATTTTATAAAACTACCTAAGTGTTTCATGAGGCACTCATTTGCAATCCATTTCCTTGTCTTATTTTGTTCCCAAACTGTAGATTCATCTTCACATAGCATTGTTTCCCAAGTACAAGCTAAGAATGTACCAGGAAATCAACTTGAACACTTGATTAAGATGAAACAATTGCAAATAAATAAATGTTCTGTGACTTTAGAGGGTATGGAAACCCAGGCTGAAGGGATATCCGCCTCCCCATGACTCCCGGATACTTTTGGTGGCAATGAGCCCATACAGATGACCTTCAGAGTTTTAGACAAGGACAGGAGTCCTTGGCCCAGCAGAGCACAAGGAACTATTCAGCATGTCAGGGAGTGGAGCTTTAAGCGGACACAGAAGTATGGTTATGGGTCGCCTTGGGGGCTGCTGAAAGAAAACATTTCTCCACATCTGAAGACTGACTTTGCTGCCTGCAAAAACAATGCTAGGCCTTCAGTTTCCTTTTTATGTATTTATTTATTCTTCTCGTTTTAAACTTAATTACATCTGGCCTCCATGTCCCTCTCTTCTGTCCATTGAACTCGTCCCCTGGTGTTAATTGTCTTCTTTGGTTACTATTAGTGCCAAGATTTTGCTGCCACTTATCCCATGCCTGTCCTGGCCTGCCACCCTGATACAAAATCATCGAGTAGGAGTGTTGAGACAGGGGAGGATTTTACAGTTTAGTAAGGGAGCAACCTCAAGGAGAGATAAATAAATGATAAAAGACTACTTAAAAATTATTCATAATTACCAATGGAGAGAAGACTGAGATTGAAGTAATTAAAGGTGGAAGTTTCACTCTTAAAAATCTATATATAACAATATCATTGGAATTTATTTCTACATTAAGCACAAATTATTTTTGTGTTTAAAGACAGTAAAATTAGACAGAATTGGCTACTATCTTGTCATTAGTAAAATTACTAGTCATTTATGAGTTCATTTCATTTAGCTCATCTGATTTTCTGCAATAGTAGCCATAGTTCCATCTTTTCCAACCATGTGCTTTTCTTATCCACTGAATAAACAAAAAGGAAATCAATAATCCTCTGCTGGTCGTCTTCTTCATGGCTCTATCTCAGCGCCCATTTATCTGCTGCTCCACAGTTTGTGTTATTAATACATGAAGGATGACTGAAACCTCTTGCTTATGACGTCACCAATCTTAGCTTTTCAGCCCCATGTGTTGGGATAAAACACTGACCCTCCTTAATTACTTTATTTTCAAAGTAAACATATCCCCTTTTATTTTAGTTGCTTCTTATTTCCTAAATTACATCTCTGCTATTGCCACCAGTGACCTCACAATGTCTTTGGACTTCTGACCAAACTTATATTTTTGGTAGTGCTCCGAATATTACCAAAACAAGCAAACATGGAACAAACATGCTGCTAAACCAGTCTGAGAACTACTGCAGGCCAGGCAGAGCGGAGAGTCTATCCTTCCTCCTGCAGGACTTGTGATCCTTGACTCAACAAATGAGGGCAAAAAAGCACAAAAACTCTCCTCCCTCACTTTATTCTCAGAGCCAAAAATTGGCTGCAGACATTCTGTGTGTTTTTGTATCCACTCCACACGCGATGTTGGCACCATGGATGTCTGTCTTAAGAATGTTTTCCAAACAGCCACCATCTGGATCCAAATATGATGCTTTACTCACTCAAAACTTTTTCCAAGAATATGAGAAGGAAAGATGACAATTACCTGCCCTGTCATTTCCTAGAAAAAGCTGTTTTAAAACTGAAACAAAGAAAAACCACAAACTTTTGTACCACAGCCAATATCTAAATGTGTTTGGTTTCTGAGTGTCTCAGATTTCTTAAGTTAAAATCCATTAATATATAAACCCACCCTCCACCCTCCTCACACGCAGGCACACAACCCACACCGAGCTACTCACCGGACAATCTGTCAGTGGATCCCTCATGTCGAAATGTGTCTGGCTTTTGTCCTTTCACCTACGCTCCAGCATTCTAGACACTGTAATCAAGGTTGGGTGTGTACTGGACTTCCGGGATTCAAAGGGCCTAGAGTACGTCAGTCCTTGTCAAACACACCAAGGAGGAAGTCCCAGCTCTGGACTTTCATCCCGTTTGTTTCCTGAGAAAGTAAAGAACTGCTCTGGATGAAGAGAGCCAGGGTGAGAGAGTGCGAATGACTTCTCTAAACCCTCAGAGGGCAGGATCCTGAGTCCTGAACAGCGTAACATTGAGATAAGGCACAGAAGCTGCAATGTGTCTCCAATAATTCTAGCGCTCGGTCTGACAGTGCAGGAACACATATCCTCTCAGCCTGTAGTATTAATCATGCTTGTTATTTTCTATATTGTATGATGCTTTGACTTTTTGGGACCTTGGAGAGAGACTGCCTGTCTGAGGGTTAGCTAATTCCTAGAGAGAGCAAACAACTGGCTTGTGAGCATGCCTTTAATATGCAAACCAACAAATCTAGAGCCCAACCGCCCCGCCCACCTCCTTTATCCAGCTCTCAAATACCAAGCCCATATTCCCCCACCCCCTAAAATCCCACAGGGCCAGATACCAAACAACTAGGAACCTACTCCTGTAGAACTATAACTACAGAATGTTCAGAAACAGTTATCAGGAGCAAAGTGTACACTAACCACTTCTCCGAGCCTAACTCCACTCTCCCTCCAGCCCCAACAGGATCAAGAGGCTAAGCTTTCAATGTAAAGAAAACAATTGCCTAGATTTGGCCTCATTTTTCATCACTCAAAAGGATAGACAGAATAAGAACTCAACCACAGCTTGAGTTCTACTGCTTTCTCTGCACCTGTGGTCCCAGTTGCCAATCATTAGATTTCCAATGAATGGGCTATTGACGTATGACAGCCATTTGCTAGGCTGTGGGCAGTTCTGTTTGACTGGCAGGCAAAGGCAGGCCCCAGTTTGAAAGGAGCTCCATCAACACAGTCCAGTGGAACATTTCAGAGTTGAAAAGCATTCAGTTTTCACCTGCCTGGCTGGCTCAGCCTCCATTCATCTGTCCCTGGTGTGCAGGCTCCATTCAATGTCCCTAGAAATAAGCCAGTTGCAGTGCCTCATGCCTATAATCCAAGCACTTTGGGAGGCGGAGTCTACAAGGTCACTTGAGGCCAGGAGTTTGAGAGCAGCCTGGGCAATACAGCAAAAGACTCCTATCTCTACAATTTTTTTTTTTAATTAGGGTGTGGTGGTATGTGCTGTAGTCCCAGCTACTCAAGAGTTTGAGGCAGAGGATTGCTTGGGTCTAGGGGTTCAAAGCTGGGCGACACAGTGAGACTCTGTCTCTAAAAAAAAAAAAGAAAAAAGAAAAAGAAAAAAAAGAAAAAAGCTTCTAGAAACAACGTAGAAGAGTCGAGACAATTAAGGAAAAGAACTTGCCTTGCACCGTGGAGAGGAGGGGTCTTTTCCATACACTTAATGTCCTCCCTCTTTGCTTATCCAAAGAACTTGATCACTGGAGGTTACAACAATCTTGGGTAGCTATCTCAGGACTGGAATTAGACAAGGCAACTCTGTAAAATAAAAGAAATTTAAGTCAGGTACAGTGGCACACACCTGTAATCTTAGTACTTTGGGAGGCTGAGATGGGAAGATTGCTTGAGGCCAGGAGTTCGAGATCAGCCTTGTCATCTCTATTTTTTTTTTTTTTTTTGAGACGGAGTCTCGCTCTGTCGCCCAGGCTGGAGTGCTGTGGCCAAATCTCAGCTCACTGCAAGCTCCCCCTCCCGGGTTTACGCCATTCTCCTGCCTCAGCCTCCCGAGTAGCTGGGACTACAGGCGCCCGCCACCTCGCCCGGCTAGTTTTTTGTATTTTTTAGTAGAGACGGGGTTTCACCGTGTTAGCCAGGATGGTCTCGATCTCCTGACCTCGTGATCCGCCTGTCTCGGCCTCCCAAAGTGCTGGGATTACAGGCTTGAGCCACCGCACCCGGCCCCTCTATTTTTTTTTAAAGAAATTTAGAGACAGGATATAGACTGAAGTTAATAATATGTGACTCAAATTCCCACTTGCGGGGGCTTCTCTGCCCTCAGAGATTTTAGATAAACTTGTCCAGAGCCACAGTTCTAGGACCTGGGGCAGCTCAATGCCTTCTCTGTGATTCCTGCCCCATTTTTCTTGCTGCTCTTTGTTTCATTTCAGTCCCAACTGAGTCCAAACTGGGGAAATTGGTCTCCCTTGCCAGTTTCCACAAGAAATGCTGTCACACAAAGCCTACTGTGATCTTTGTATATGAATTATAGATTGGTAAGGCACTCCTATCCCCAAACTCTTCATGTGTGCCATTCCCAGTGCGCTGACTAGCTTTCCCTCAGACCTCCCGGACATCTGCTGAATTAAAATCCTTTCATCTTGCTCCCATCTGCTGCAGGGCTGTTGTAAGTGCAGCAGGGGATCCTCGCTGAATCCAGACTGAGAATTAGAATTTGGCTATTTGTTGAGCTTCCCAGAGGAGTGTTTGAATGTGCAAAAAGCCTTGATTTTGGAGGTCAGAAATAGGTTGGTATCATTTATCCTTTGTCACAATAATACTGTGTAACAAACAGAAAAACCAGTGGCTTCAAATGACACAGACTTTACTTGGTTCAAAAATCTATAGTTTAGCTGGGTGGATCTTCAGGTGTCCCCTGACCTCACTCATGTAAAAGCAGGTCATCTACACAGGGCTTGGCAGAGCCGTGCATCTGGGCTTTTCTGGGCAGGGGGATGACTGGGGGCTAGCTGTTGGCTGAGGCCGTACTTCATGAGCTGGTAGTCTAATCAGGCTCTTCTCAGGGTATGGCAGAGGAGCCACAAGAGTGAGTGGAACAGCTCAAGGCCTCTGGAGGTACAGCTTAAAATGGACATCCCATCATTTCAGCCACATCCAGCTGATCAAAGCCAGTCATGGCCCAGCGCAGATTAAAGGGGCAAGGAGAGCTTCTACTTCTTAATAGGAGGAGCTCAGTGTCCCACTGTAAAGGGCCTAGAGACAGAGAGGGGCGGACAATTGGAGTTAGTTTTCCATTCCATTTACTACAATGACTGGTTAATATTTGTTCTTGAGTGACTAGAGATAAAGCATCAAGGACAAGGAGCAGGTAGCTGGTTATGTATCTTCCTCTCCCTCTCCCCAACCCAGCCTGGGGTGACATGTTTTGAACCTGAGCAGACTGAGGTTAGGAAGAGAAATAAGAGGACCTAAATCATAAAAGACTCTAGATGGATAAGGGCTGTTCTCTCCTCTGACCCCACATTCCACCCTAAACATACTCTGCTAAGGAGCATAGCAAAAAGCACCTCTGCTGGGTATGGGTTGGGACAAGGCAGCAGCAGGGAGAACCTGCTAAGGTGTCTTCAGCCACTGAGGCTCAGGTAGGTGAGGCATCTTGATAAGGAAGATAGAGCAGGCCACAGTGAGCACATTTGTCCCCGAGCATGTGAGAATTCTTCCAGTCCCGAAAAATGGCCCAAGGGGACTTTGGGAGGAGAAGACTGAGTTCCTATGTGAGTAAGAGGAGCAAAGAACTTTGTAGTTTTGGAATTAATATTAACAACCTCATTTGTACCTACAGTTTGATGAGAATGTGAACCTAAAGGAAAAAACAACTGAGGCCAACTTAATATAAGTAGAGCATTTACTTGGGCCAAGCTTGAGGACTGCAACCCAAGAGCATAGTTTCAAGTTGCCCTTAGTATGTGCTCTGGTTAGCAGCAGGTACAAGTAGGTTTTTAAAGGAAAAGAAGAGGAAGAGGAAGCTCCTGAGTTGTTTGCCAAGAATTTCCGTGAAAATAACATAAGCTATTGATTGGCTATACACTGTTCCGTGTATCACAAATTCCAGGAACATAAAGATAGTAGATGAGGTGGCTAGTCAGGAACAAAATGCCTTTAAATGATTGTTTCCAGGCGTGGGTTCAAGGAGGCACAGCAAGACTGGAGCCCCATGCTCCCTCTCTGGGCCTGATGAATTTGGCATACCTCATATAGCTCAGACTGCTCTAAGCCATTTTTCTTTTCTCAAGAACTATCTTCTATCTATCTATCTATCTATCTATCTATCTATCTATCTATCTATCTAGGTCTATCTAGGTCTATCTATCTATCTCTGTCTATCTATCTATTTATCTCTCTCTCTCTATCTATCTCTGTCTATCTATCGATCGATCGAAGCATCTCTTCCAAGAAGGTATACCATTCACACTTTCTGAAAATTTTAATGTGCAAAGAATTCTTTCGAGTTCTCTGTTCTCAGATTTGTCTCTGGTCCTACATTTCTGACCTGCACTCATACTCTGGCTGCTTTCCAGCCTAGCCTCCAGTTAGATTTACTGTCTGACCTCTCCTGTCCTAATCTTCCTGCTTTCTTTCTCAGTCTCCGCTCAGCATGTGCCTTCCTGGTAGAGCCTCTCTGCAGAAAGAAAACCTGCAACGGATTCCCTTCCAGAGCCTGGCCTGGAAGCTGCTCTGCTGGACTCCAACTTTCACATTTTGTGCTGCCTCTAAGGGGAGTTAACAACAATAGTACACATGTATTAAGTATTCACAGACAAATACTGGGTGTTGGTAAGCTGGTAAGAAAAAGGAGCCCAAATGTAATAGGAGCTAATGGCAATTCAAAACTTGCCTTGGAAGTTTCTTTTGTAGCCAAAACATGCAAAGAACTGGCAACGGCATAAACATCATCAATTGAGACCTAGTTAAATACTTTATGGTAATATAAGCTCACATTTAAAGGACTTACCACATGTCAGGCACCATTCTAAGTGTTTTACAAATACAATTGGCCCTCCATATCCCTGGGCTCTGCATCTGTGGATTGAAAATAATAATTTTTAAAGTAACAATAAAAATACAAATAAGTGTTTATGACTACTTATATAACATTTACATAGCATTAAGTGTTATGAGTTACCTAGAGATGATTTAAAGTACATGGGAGGATGTGTGTATGTTATGTGCAAATGTGACACTATTTTATATAAGGGACTTGAATATCTTTGGATTTTGGTATGAGGGGGTATCCTGAAACCAATACCCCATGTACACTGAGGGATGACTTATTAACTTATTTAATCATCACGGTTATCATTTGAGGTAGATATGTATTATTTTGATCCTTATAATACCCATAGGGCAACAGAGGCACAAGGTAGAGACGAGGTCTCACCATGTTACCCAAGCTTGTCTCAAACTCCTGAGCTCCAGCGATCCATCTCTCTTGGCCTCCCAAAGTGCTGGGATTGCAGAAGTGACCCACCGCACCCAGCAACACACACACACACACACACACACAAATTTAAAGGATAACACTTATGCTAACTTTAATTTATAAAACAGAACTGATAGTTGAGATGATGACAGCGTGCCTTGTTATTTTCGTATCTCTAGGATTTTGCTTACGCTGAGCCTTCCAGTGGGAAGTCCTTCTAGTTTTATATTGACCCAGCTGATTTTTACTTATCTCCAAAGTCTAGCTTGTGTTGTTTTCTCCAGAGAGAATGAACTCTTGCCTTTATACTACTGCTATCCATTGCACACACCTCTTTTACTTCATTTATCTTATCGTGTTGAAAGTATTCATTTAGGCTGGGTGCAGTGGCTCATGCCTGTTATCGCAACACTTTGGGAGGCCACAGCAGAAGTGTAGCTTGAGGCCAGGAGGTCGAGCCCAGCCTGGGCAACATGGCAAAACCCCATCTCTACCAAAAATAAAAAGTAAAAAACTAGCCAGGCATGGTGGTGTGTACCTGTAGTCCCAGCTATTCAGGAGGCTGAGGTGGGATGATCACCCAAGCCCAGGGAAACTGAGGCTGCAGTGAGCCGTGTTCATGTCACCACACTCCATCCAGCCTGGGTGACAGAGAGGGACCTTGTCTCAAAAAAAAGAAAAAAAAAGAAAAGTATGAGTTTAATGGTCTACCTCCCACAGTACTCAATGAGCTCCTCATAGCCAAGTATCTGGAGCAAAGTAAATGTTCAATAAATAATTGCTTTCCTTTGAATTAAATACCGAGAGAGTGACTCTATTAGCAAGTTTCTCTTTTTTGGCAAGGCAGGGGATATTGTTTACGCGTAGGCCCATATCCTCAGCTATCAGGAAGCAGAGTTCAAAACACTGAGACAGAAGATAAGTGTGACCTTCTGGGCAGGAACTCTAAAATGGGAAATGGTTCCAATGCACTTGGGAGGCTCTGACACTGATTAAAATGGCCTTGACAAGCAGGAAACGAAGTAGGACTCGGCAAGAATCCCAAGGGGCCACTTAGAGAACTTTCTTGGAAGTTTGTTGGTTAAAATATATAAACAGATGAGGTAAGGAGAGTCTTGGGATTGAGAATAAAACTGAAGAGTTCCCTAATGTTAAGAATAAGTTTGGAAGAGCTGGAGTCTAAAATGGGCAGGGGTCTGACAAGTTTGCCAAGAACATCTAAGAGAATTTTTGCCGTATTCACAGTAAGACTGGGGCAGCTGGCCTGCTGGTATTAAAGGCCCAGTGGGCAGGAGTACTTAGCCAGGCTGCTGGGGTCCAGGGGTTAAGGGGTCAGGTGGGAGCAGCTAGCTGTCAGCAGGCCACATCTTCAAGAGCGCTTTCTTTGTATGACTAGCTATGACATGGGTGACACATCTTGATACACATTAACATGTCTTCCCAAGGCCAGCTCCTGGTTCTGAGTCCTAGATGACACCTAGTCCTTGACCTGTTTGAGCTGACAGAGGAGCAGCAGCTTTCCCTGTTGCCGCAGCACGCACATGCGCACCACGGTCAGTGTTTACCATACCTGACATCACTTCCACCAATCACCCTCAGAGGGAAGTGTAGAAGCAATTTCATTCTGATTAAGTCACCCTTATTTTCAGTCCGGGATCATTGCAGTGATAAGTTTCCCTAATTTTCATATCTCTCCAAAGCTAAAAGATACATTTCTGAAGACTTGCCTTAAGGCACATATTTTTTAAAAAAGTTTTTAAGGGTTTTGAGCTTTGCCCAAAGCCTTAGATGGAAAAAAGAAAACTATCCAATTTAGAAGCACTAATGAGTACTTTAAACTGTGGCAGAAGCAGTGGGGGTAAACACTGATGCTGTTATTGTTAATAGCCAGCCTAATTTGTAGCATCTAAGGTAACTTTTATGCTCTGCTTGTACCAATTACATTTGTGGTTGTAAAAATTGCACAAAATAAGCTTTTTGCCTCTTAACACCTCATTGAAATTACTTAATTTTTAAATCTGAGCCCAAATGGTCATAATTAACTTACTATATACATGCAAACCAGTCTTATATTCAGTGTGCTAGGGTTTAATTTTTATTATGCATGTCCAAGTGTCATATATATTAATTTTAAAACTCCAGGTGTTAATGGAGAAAGAAGATGAAACCAAATAGATTAATTTGCATAAACCAAATTAGTATAAATTTACTTTTCCACAATAAGCCCTAGGAAATGAAGACTAATGGACAACTAATTAACAGTCAAGTCATCCTATAGCTGTGATCTATGGCTTTAGCTTCCAAAGGAAAGCATGAGAACAAGGACATTTTACAAATGCAGATTTGCCCAAATTACATTATATCTTCATTTAATCACCTGTGTTAATATTTATGTCTCATTACTTACATTTTTTTCTAAGCTCATCTAAGCCTTACAAATCTCAATTTAAATGTACACTGGAATATCCAGTATAGAGTTGTTTTAGTCTCCAAGGCACATTATATATGAGTTGGGCATTTTTGCCTATGTAAATAAAGTGCCAACAGTGGGACTTACTCACCTTTTCCATCTTGGTCCCCTCTACACTTTATAAGTAATGATTTATAGTGATTTCCTATAAATCATTGCCAAGTTATGGAGATGGAGTCTTAGAGAAGAAACAAAAGCATGCCAAATGGTTATTTATTGTGATCTTTTCCTGTGGCAGCAACTGAGAGGCTAGGGGATGGGCATGGGAAGTGGTAGAGCTCTACTCTTTACTGGACTTCTTTTGCACTTTTGAAATTTTATATGCTGTGCTTGCATTACCTATTCAAAGCTATTTACTACGAGCCAGGTGCAGTGGCACACCTGCAATCCCAACTACATAGGAGGCTGAGGCAGGAGGATCCCTTGAGCCCAGGAGTTTGCGACCAGCCTAGGCAACATGGTGAGATTCCATATGAATTTTTTAAAAAGTATATATTAATTTTTTAAAGCCATTGTACAGCCCTGAGACTGAGGGCACCCTGTCCACTCAAACTTAGGTTCAGTCAAACAGCCCTCTGAGTACTTGTTAAAAATCATCCCCTTAGGCCGGGCGCGGTGGCTCAAGCCTGTAATCCCAGCACCTTGGGAGGCCGAGACGGGCGGATCACAAGGTCAGGAGATCGAGACCATCCTGGCTAACACGGTGAAACCCCATCTCTACTAAAAAAATACAAATACTAGCTGGGCGAGGTGGCGGGCGCCTGTAGTCCCAGCTACTCGGGAGGCTGAGGCAGGAGAACGGCGTGAACCCGGGAGGCGGAGCTTGCAGTGAGCCGAGATCCCGCCACTGCACTCCAGCCTGGGCGACAGAGCAAGACTCCGTCTCAAAAAAAAAAAAAAAAAAAAAATCATCCCCTGTTGTCTTCTCACTCAAATTATTTAACCTCGAAGTCAGCTCCTCTCCCAACTCTTCTGAAATGGTTCTACTGAAAAACACGAGTTCTTTCATTTTGCTTCTCTTTAGCGTTTTACACAATTAATAAATCATTGATGTGTATTCATCCATTCACTCATTCATTCCAGGATGCCTTTGAAGCACCTTCTTTGTTCCAGGCATTGACGAGAGATCCAAGGAGGAACAAGCGCCAATCCCTTCTTTCAAGGACAGCAGTTTGATGAAGGAAGGTTACATTATACTATGATAGATTATGAAGACGACGATAGATATGATGATAGATAGATATGATGGACAGATTATGAAGATATGATAGATACAGAGGAGGTCTTTAGAGAAATGTAATGGGAATTACAAAGAGGTATCCCACGCAGCCTAGTTGGGAATGAAGGGAAACACAGAAAATGCTGGTAAGAGATAATCACACTTGCTGACACTTGATATGCATGTATCAGTCGTGTTTACGTAAGAGAAACTGTTCTGTTGTATCTGGAAAATTATCTCTCAAGAGTGCTTTGAGTGCACAGTTTGCATGGGACCTTATAGTTCATGAGGCTTGGAAGATACTCAGAGGCCAGATAATGGGATGACTCCAGTGCCATGTTTTAACTTTAACCCAAAGGTAAATGGAATCACAAAAGGGTCTTTCTTCTCTCCACATAGGAACTTACGCACATTTGTGATATTTAGATTTTTTTTTGTTTGATTTCTTTTTTGAGACAGGGTCTCACTCTGTCACTTAGGCTGGGGTGCAGTGACACGATCTTGGCTCACTGCAACCTCTGCCTCCCAAACTCAAGCAATCTTCCCGCCTCAGCTTCCCAAGTAGTTAGAGCTAAACGTGTGTGCCACCAGGCCCAGCTAATTTATTTTTTATTTTTTGTAGAGATGAGGTTTCACCATATTGCCCAGGCTGGTTTCCAAGCTCCTGGGCTCAAGCAATCCACCCACCTCAGTCTTCCAAAGTTCTGGGATTACAGGTGTGAGCCACAGTGCCTGGCCAATATTTAGATTTTAGTTTTAGGCTGTTCATTCTGACGGTAGTGTAGAAACTCTAAAGCGAACTGAGATAAGGATTAGGAAGAGTGAGGAGGCTGTTGCCAGGAACCAGGAGAAAAATGGTGAGGCCTTAACTAACCCAGGAGGCAGTGGTAGAGTTTTAAAATGGAACCAGCAAGACTTGGTGATAGACTGGATTAAGGGTAAGTAATGAGGGAGTGGGAGGAATCTAGAACAAAGCCCAAGCTTCTGGTATCTTCCTCAAAATTCCCTTCTCTATGGCCTCTATGGGAGGAACTAAAGAACAGGAGTTAATGATATAGGCTTTGGAGTGTGGAGAATTCAAAAGTTGGCTACACTACAAATTAGTATGCTAACTTTGGGAGAAATTTCTTAGCCCCTTTGAGTTTCAGTTTCCTGTTATGTAAATGGAAGTAATACCATATATTTCATAGCAGAGTATACATAATGACTGTTCAGTAAACATTTACTGTTATTACTGTTATCAGGATCACCTTATTTTTTGCAGAATAAAGATGTTAAAGATAATTTTATGGCCAGGTATGCTGGCTCCTGACTATAATCCCAGCACTTTGGGAGGCTGAGGCAGGTGGATCACCTGAGGTCAGGAGTTCAGACTAGCCTGGGCAACATGGCAAAAACCCCGTCTCAACTAAAAATACAAAAAACTAAACAAAACAAACAAACAAAAAATTAGCCAGGTATGGTGGTAAGCACCTGTAGTCCCGGCTACTCAGGAGGCTGAAGCAGGAGAATTACTTGAACCTGGGAGGCAGAAGTTGCAGTGAGCCAAGATCGCGCCACTGCACTCCAGCCTGGGTGACAGAGTGAAGACTACATCTCAAAAAAGAAAATAAAATAAAGATAATTTTATATTATACATACAAAACACTAAAAAATATAACTATCCTAATTCAAAAATTTATAAACTCACATGACTACTCACCAAACAATTTAGAATTCTCAAGAAGTTTTACTTAATGCATTTTTTTATTTCACTAAATTTTTCCTTTGATAACTTGAGGCACTTGTATTACTTTACGACTCTCGAAAGTCGCAGATAGCATCCTCATTTTAAAAAATAAACATTTTGCATCTAGAGATCTGAAAATTTTACTTAGGACATTAAGATTTTGAAAACAAATATATTGGTTAAAAATACTCTCAAAGTTACAAACAAATTGCAAATTCATTACAAGGATTTTTTTTTTCCTTTTTTCCTGAATAAGTTGCCAATCTAATGCTCCATCATCTTCTAATATTTTAGTGTGCATTTCCTTCAAACAAGGATGTTCTACAACAAAACCACAATACAACCATCAAAAGCAGGAAATTGAAATGGATTCATCACTACTATCTAACCCTCAGTTCCACCAATTGTCCTGCCTAAGTTTCCCATAGCAACAGGATCTAGTTCAGTATCGTGCCTGGCATTCAGGCACTATGTTTCTTTAGTCTCCACTCTGGAACAGTTCTTAGCCCTTCCTTGGCTTTCCTGCCATTGACAGACTTCAAGATGACCAGTTAATTATTTTGTGTAACATCCTTCAATTTGGGCTTATCTGATGTTTGCTCATGATCAGATTCAGGTTTCGTATCTTTGGCAGGAATATCACAGAAGTGCTGCTGTGATCTTATTGCATTCATTCACCTGACTCATTTCATTTGCCCCATTAATGATGGTGTTCACCTGATTACGATAGTGTCTGCCAGGCTGCTTCGCTGTAGAGTCACTATTTTAACCTTTGAAGTGAGTAAATATTTTGTGGTGACGTACCTTGAAACTAGGCAAACACCTTGCTCCTCATCACATTTTCAGTTTATTATATATTAATTTACATCATATGCACTCATAGTTTCCCATTTTATTCAATGCATTATAATTTATTACTATTACTACTTTTATGGCAAAGTTGCTGTAGCATTTTATTATTGCTACAAAAGACAATCAATCATATTTTCAATGAAATATACTCACTGAATGATGGTTCAACACACGAGGCAAAGAGGGATGACTTTGGAGAAGGCACTTAAAGTAGAACATTAGCAAATTTTACTGCTTGACTAAACCAAAAATGAGCTAACTCAATCTGGCTGGGGGCCTGTTAGGACTGTTCCTTCTCACTGTGGCCTGACTAAAAACCAGCAGCATTAAGCAAGTGTCACGTTTCCCACGGCCTGTGGGTACCCCAATGAGGTGGTTCTGCTCTCATAAGCTCTTTTATGAGACTGGTTTTCCCCAGTGCCGGTTCAGAAAATCTGCTCAGAGCTGGCAGAAATGGTTCAGAAAGCTTCTTGAAGGCCCTTTGTTTCTTGGTCTGACCTTCAGTTTGTACCAGCTACTTTAAGCAGCTTCAGCTTCCCAAGGTTACTAGCAACTTCTACTTTTCCTAATATATTTGGTTTTCCATTGCATTGGTTGTGATAGTCTGTTAGACTAGTAGCCTCCCAATTAACTGTACCTCCCCTTCATCCCTCTTTTTGAATCTGGGCTGGGCTCGTGACTTCTTTAATCAATAGGAGGCACACTCCAGCTGATATGGTTTGGATCTCTGTCCCCACCCAAATCTCACCTTGAATTGTAATAATCCCCACATGTTGTGGGAGGGACTCGGTGGGAGGTAATTGAGTCATGGGGGCAGGTGCTTCTTGTGCTGTTCTCATGACAGTGAATAAGTCTCATGAGATCTGATGGTTTTATAAAGGGGAGTTCCCCTATACAAGCCCTCTTGACTGCGGTCACGTAAGATATGCCTTTCGCCTTCTGCCATGGTTATGAGGCCTCCCCATCCATGTGGAACTGTGAGTCTGTTAAACCTCCTTCCTTTATACATTACCCAGTCCTGGGTATGTCTTCCTTAGTAGCGTGAGAACAAACTAATACACCAGCTTATTAATTTTGAGGCACAAAATATCCTAGATTTTAGTTGGTTCTATGTCCTCATAACATTTTCCCATCATTCTTTATGTACTTCTTTGCTTTCTGGCCCAACAATGTTCTACACCCAGTCTTAGATTTTCCCCCCCAGGTCTGGGTTCAGCTACTTCAAGGAGCCCTGGTTCCTTTTCGTGGAGAATGGGTTTAGGATGGATTTAGAAACCAAGACCTGGGTCACTAGGTGTGCTAAGGAGGAGCTATTGAGGAGGCATTGACTCTAGGCCCTGAGGTGGGCAGTTATGAAATATCTATCATCTATCTATCTATCTATCTATCTATCTATCTATCTATCTATCTATCCTGTGTGTGGGTATACACACACATACTCACATGTAAATGCAGATATACACTTACATCTCTGTTCATTTTGATATCTACCTATTAAAAACCATACATGGATACCTACAATTTTAATCCAATACTACTAAGTTCATTCAGTTTTCTCCTCCTCCATATTTACACTTCCCTTTTCCAGCAGTGAGAAACTGGCTCCCCTTATTGTTAATATATTTACATCTTTGATCAGTCCTCCCCAATGTAACCCATCTCCCACTGCTTCCACTCTGGCTTCTCATGCTCTGGCTTCTCATGCCAGGCTGCCCCTCTGCAGGGATGGCCTCACCATCTTGCTTGGGCTTTGATTCTTCGTGCTTCCTCCTCCAACTCCTCACTCCCACCTTGTGTGGATTCCTCTTCACCCCCATCTTGGACTATGATTCTGCCAGCTGCCCTGTCCTCCTGGGCAGACACCTCCATGCCCAATGTGGCCCCCAACGTTCCACTCTGGGCCACCGTGATTCCCTCACCTGGCAGAGATATCTGCTCTGCTCTGTCCTATTTGAGGTTTTGGGACTGAACAGTTCAGGAAGAGAAGGGAAAGGAACAGAAAAAGAAAAAGGAAGAAGAGAAACTCATCATTATCATCTTTTTCCTTTTTTTTTTTTTTTTTTTAGATAGAGACGGAGTCCTCCTGTGTGGCCCAGACTGGAGTGCAGTGGCGCAATCTCGTCATCCGCCCGCCTTGGCCTCCCAAAGTGCTGGGATTACAGGCATGAGCCACCGCGCCTGTTCTTTTTTTTTTTTTTTTTTTTTGAGGTAGGAGCTCACTCTGTCACTCAGGCTGGAGTGCAGTGGCACCATCATAGCTCACTGCAGCCTTGAACTCCTGGGCTCAAGCAATTCTCCTGCCTTGGCCTCCCGATGTGCTTAAATTATAGGTGTAAGCCACCAACCCTGGCTGTCATCTTTATTATTTACATCATTTACATCATTTTTTTTCTTATCACTTACCTTTCTTATCACTATTTTCTTTGCTGATTTATCTTCTTCCTCTCATCCCCCAAACATGGGTATTTCTCAAGGTTCTGCTTTGGCAGGCAGTGCAGAAAAGATCAAAGCTTGGACTAAGTTCTTTGCATCACCGCTTTCTGGTTGTAAGACCAAGGACAAGGTTTTTACCCTCTTGTGCTTCAGTTTATCTGAAAAAAAAAAAAATGAAAATCATAACAGCCTCCAGTGTCAGTCTTCTATTTCCAATTTTTGTTAGACATTTCCACATGAAAGGACTCTCATCAGCTTAAATTCAAAATGTAAAAATCAACCCATTTTTCCTTTCCAAAACTGAGGCATCTTCTCACAGCTCCTCTTTCTGTAAATATATATTCACTCTACAAGAATTTATCGGGCACCTGCTGTGTAGTGGACACGGTGGCTGATAACGGGCACCTACTGTGTAGTGGACACGGTGGCTGATATGGATCAGCTATCAAAGGCAAGGCCTTTGCCCTCAAGACGTTTCCAGTGAGTCCAGTGGGGAAGGCCGTGTGGTAAGTGTTCTGATGGAGTTAAATGGTTGTACCTTTTCTTCTCAAGGAAGAGCACCAAATTCCCAAAGACTAAGGCTTTCTGGGAAGACTAACTTCTAACATAAATTAGTCTTCAAGGCCAAGTAAGAGTTAGCTACACGAAGAAGAAGAGGAAAAAGGTCTCCGTGGCAGTGTAAGCAGCATGGCCAGAGTCCCGGAGCTGTCACAGGCATGGCACATTCTGAGATAGACAGTGCCGATGGGGAGGGATGAGGATGGAGTGGAAGGCCAAGGTCAGGCCACTAAGGGGAAGAACAGGTGGTAGGGAGTGGGATGCGGGCTGCCTCACTGCTTCATGCTATGCTCTTTGTCTCAAATGCCCTTCCTCTTTCCACTGGACTCATTCAAATCCTATCCATTCTTCCTAGCTTTCTCCTTGAAACCTTTTCTTACCTGATCCCAGAAGCAGCTGTTACCAGCAGCGAATCCTTATGGGTCTGCAGCAACCTCAATTCTTAGCTCCTCAGAAGAAAGAAGTTGGGGCTGGGTGCGGTGGCTTATGCCTGTAATCCCAGCACTTTGGAAGGTCGAGGCAGGCGGATCACTTGAGGTCAGGCATTTGACACCAGCCTGGCCAACATGGTGAAACCCCGCCTCTACTAAAAATACAAAAAATCAGCTGGCTGTGATGGCGGGCGCCGGTAGTCCCAGCCACTCTGGAGCGGGGGCAGGGAAGAATTTGACCGAGGAAAAATAAGGCAGAGAGACTAAGGCAAGTTTTAGAGCAAGAGTGAAAGTTTACTAAAAGGTTTTAGGGCAGGAACAAAATGAAGTAAAGTACACTTCGAAGAGGGCCAAGCTGGCAACTTGAGAGATCAAGTGCCTGGCTTGACCTTTGGCTTAGGGTTTTATACATTGGCATACCTGTGGGGTCTTGCATCCCTTTTCCCCTGATTCTTCCCTTCTGGCGGGCTGTCTGCATGCCCAGTGCCCTACCAGTGCTTGGGGAGGGCTGCCTGCGCAACGTGTTTACGGGAGTTATAGGCATGCTCACTTGAGATGTTCTTCCTCTACCAGTCTAAAGTTCCTAGAGGAAGGTCATATACCAGTTAAACTCCCCCATTTTGCCTCATAGTGCGCATGCTTGAGCCCACTTACCTAACTCCTGAGATCTTACTGGGAAGCTGCTGATAACCAGTTTCAGGTTTTTTCTATCTGTCGGGAGACTGCTTTCCCTGGTGCTGGCTGTGACTAATTGTTTTAGAGAAATAATGACTGTAACAGTGTAACAACCACCTGACCATCACTTGATGGTCATCTGATGTTCCGGATTGGGCGGGCAGCCCTCTCCTGGCCTGCTGATGTCTGCCTACTATAACACAACCTCTCTCTCCTCTGAACTTTTCTGGCAATTACTATTCTCACAACATATTTGATATAACGATGATACCGATGTCTTCTATCTATAGATTTTATTTTTATTTTTAAAAGCCTTTTGCTGGCCGGGGGCAGTGGCTTATGCCTGTAATCCTAGCACTTTGGGAGGCTGAGGCAGGTGGATCACTTGAGGTCAGGAGTTCAAGACCAGCCTGGCCAATATGGTGAAACCCCATCTCTACTAAAAATACAAAAAAAAAAATTAGCCGGGTGTGGTGGTGTGCACCTGTAATTCCAGCTACTTGGGAGGCTGAGGCACGAGAATCACTTGAATCTGGGAGGCAGAGGTTGCAGTGAGCTGAGACACTGCCACTGCACTCCAGCCTGGGCAGCAGAGTGAGACTCTGTCTTAAAAAAAAAAAAGTTTTTGCCTTGATCATTAAGTTTGATGTACACATAGAACAATTATTTCTTCAGAGCTAATAACTTCTGCCTGTGGCCTGCCTCCCTAACTGGATTGAGACCCCCTTCAATGCAGCAGCTTTGCCCCTGACTTCCTTATACTCCTCACAAAGCCTAACATAATGTCTCAAACGATTGGTGCTCAATATATTTATTGACTTGATTTTGATGTGCATTTTACTGCTTTCATTAGCATTCTGGTTCTGTGGGTAAACAATTTGGTACATGTAGCATAGTGTAAACTACTGGTTACCATAGTGCAAACTATTTTATAACTCCTCAGAAATGACTTGTAAGTGATACAACTAAGAAATGGCAGCACTAGAAGTGTGGTATGTCAGGGCTCTGTTCTGTGTACCATCTAGTACCCTCAGCTAAGAGAAAAACAATACGCATTGCTCTTAAAAACTCTAGGGATCCTTTTGAACTCATCTTTGGTGACATGGCTCCAATTAGTCTGAAATCTAACATAGTCTTGCTTGATGGCTTGCCAGACAGTAACTAGCACTCTGGGTCAGGAACTTAGGCTAGAGCCAAGAGTTCAATCCTGATGAATCAAATTAACAGCTATGACTCAGAAAGAGGAGGGCTCGTAACTGCTCTTTTATTTCCTATAACTCAAGTTACAGGATATAAACTCACTTTGTAGCATTTCATCCCTCACCTACTACCCACCCCTAGGACTATTTCCCTATGAGTCTTTCAGCCCATTCTTAAAACCCGGACCCCTAAAAAACAACTTTACTATGCAGATCCCTTCCATTCTTCAGTCTGCAATGTCTTGAATGACTGAACTGCTTCCCCTGGTTCTTTGTGAACCTGTGTTCTGGGTTAGGTTTGACCTTGCAAGCTCCCAGGGTTAGATTGAGGAAGATGTCCCCTTTGTGAATTAGACTGATAGAGTGAACTTGAAAAATTGAGTTCAGTTATTGATGTATTTGATTTATTGGGGGTCTTTCCCAAGAAAAGCTTCTGATATTGTTGAAAGGACTAAACAATATGATACCAAAAAGAGGGAAGATACAGATGAAAACTACAGGAGGAAAAATTAGATCTGTAAGAAAAATTAACAGAGGTAGATAAGAAAAAAAGCCAATGGAGAATTCGAAATGCAGTACAAATCTTGGCAGCCCACACCTTCAGAAACAAATGCAAACATTTGGAATGGAAATGAAAAAAAGGAATCTGTGTAATGAACCAGAAAGAGTACGCATAAGTTTTGGAATCACTCAGGTCTAGGGTCAAATCTTTACTGTGCTGGGGAGTGTTTAACTGGCTCATCATAAATGAATAAATAAACAAGAAAGCAAGCCCTAATTTGCAGCTTTTGCTGCAAATTATAAAGTTATTAAATACATGGTCTAGGAAAGTAATGTCACTGAACACAGATTTGTGAAGAAATGCACAACAGCACACATAAATACAAATACAAATTTGTATTCATATCCTTCATACAAATACAATAGATGTAAATAACCTCAAGAGCATAGATGATAGTTGAAGATAGGTAAATCATTAAAAGTGATGTTTTTGGGTATTTATTACCTGTAAATATGTATTTTTTTGAGGCAGGGTCTTGCTCTGTGCCCAAGCTGGAGTGCAGTGGTGTGATCACACCTCACTACAGTCTTGACTTCCCAGGCTCAAGCAATCCTCCCACCTCAGCTTCTCAAGTAACTAGGACTACAGGTGTGTGCCACCATGACTGCTGATTTTTGTTTTTTGTTTTTTTGTTTTTTTTGGTAGAGACGGGGTTTCACCATATTGTACAGGCTGGTCTCCAACCCCTGGGCTCAAGCAATCCTCCTGCTCAACCTCCCAAAGTGCTGGGATTACAGGTGAGAGCCACTGTGCCTGGCCTTATTACCTATATTTTAAAATATAATTTTAATTTGTAAGTTTATACAATTTTTTAAAATGACTGTTTAATGATCAGCTTGCAAAATTTCAGAAAATATAACAATCAGCCTGTACAAGCTGGTATGAGCTGCCTCCACCACACCACTGATGAATGATGATACACTTGATCCTTATGATTGCTGGATTCCATATTCGTGAATTCACCTGCCCTCTAAAATTTATTTGCAAACCAAAAATCAATACTCAAAGCATATGATGGTTAATTTTCTGTGTCAATTTAACTGGGCTACAGGATGCTTAGATATTTAGTTAAGCTATATTCTTGGTGTATCTGTGAAGGTGTCTTTGAGTGAGATTAACATTTGAATCTAAAGGCTGAGTAAAGTAGATTGTCCTTCCTGGTGTGAGTGGGCTTCATTTAATTCCTAAAGGCTTGAACTGAACAAAAAGTCTGAGAAAGGAAGAATTTGGTCTCTCTCTGCTTGACTGTCTTTGAGCTGAGACATTGGTCTTCTCCTGCCCCTGGAACCAAACTGGGACTGGAACTTACACCAACAGCTCTTCTACTTCTCAGGTCTTTGGACTTAGACTGGAACTGTACCGTCAACTCTCCTGGGTCTACAGCTTGTGACCGAAGATCTTGGGACTTCTCGGCCTCCATCATCTTGGTGTGAACCAATTCCCCATAATAAATCTTTCTCTCCTTCCCTCCCTTTCTCTCCCTCTCTCTGTGTATACACACACACACACACACACACACACACACACACGTATTTTATTGGTTCTGTTACTGTCGCCAAATCTGTACAGGCCTGAGGCAACCTCAATTCTTGCATCCTCAAAAGAAAGAATTTGACTGCGGAGGCATAAGGCAAAGTGAAAGACCAAGGCAAGTGTTTTAGAGCAGGAGTGAAGTTTATTTAAAAGTTTTAGTGCAAGAATGAAAGGAAGTAAAGTTACTTGGAAGATGGCCAAGTGGGCAACTTGAGAGATCAAGTGCCTGGTTTGACCTTTGACTTGGGGTTTTGTATGTTGGCATACTACCCGGGTCTTGCATCCCTTCTCCCGATCCTTCCCTTGTGGTGGAATGTCTGCATGCGTAGTGCTTGCTAGCACTTGGGAGGGGCTGCACTCAGTGTGTTTATTGGAGTTGTATGCATGCTTACTTGGGGCCTTCCTCCCTTACCAGTTGAATGCTCCTAGAAGGTCATATAACAGTTAAACTTCACCATTTTGTCTCTTAATAAGCATGCCTGAGCCCACTCTCCCAACTCCTGAGATCTTATCAGGGAGCTGCTGATAACCAGTTTCAGATTTTTTCTATCTGTTGGGAGACTGCCTTTCCTTAACACCACTTTGACAAATTATTATTTTAGAGAAACAGTGTAACAACCACCTGACAATTACCTGATAGTCACCTGACATTCCTGGTTCAGGGGTGGCCCTCTTCTGCCCTGCTCATGCCTGACTAGCTACCTACTGTAACAGTTCTGCTTCTCTGGAGAACCCTGATGAATACATGCATCTTTTATAGTCATCTGTGGTGAAAATTTTGAGTCACTTGATGCACATATTCTAAGCTGGGGCTGAACAAGGCGCCACTCTGCCTTCTTCTTTCAACTCATGCTGTAAACAAATATTCTTTTTGTAGTTTGTCTAGTGACACAACTTTCGCATCTTTGTGCTTTTTGTTGGTGATTTTGCTGTTTAAAATGGCCCCCAAGTGTAGGGCTAAAGTGCTGTCTAGGGCGCTTAAGTGTAAGAAAGCTGTGATATGCCTTATGGGGAAAATGAAACCACCTTTGCAAAATAACAGCAAGAAAATTTTAACA